CCCCCGCCCTGGCTTCTGAGCTTGACCCGCGAGGTCCTCCGGAACTCGGGAAACCTTGGGCAGCGAGCGGCTGCCAGAGCGAGTCGCTGATGAGAGGAGCGGCGGCGGCGGGTATGGGAGCATCTCTGCGGAATGAAGACGCGGGCTCTCCTGCTGTCGCGCTGCACAGGGAGTTGAGCAGCAGGAATTTTGAGTTGTGGCCCCGCGGGCTCAGCCCGGGGGAGCGGGTGGCCTTTGGTCCAGCAGCCCTAACCGTGGGAGAGCTGGCGGGAGCCCGGGGATCCCCCTCTTGCGATGCTCTCATTTTTGTAACCACGGGACCCCAAAGTTTGGGAAAGAATCAGCGACCTGGCCCAACATTGTCCAGCTCAGTGCCTGGTCCAGAGCTGGGCAGCAGGGTTTGGTTTCCTGTTTCAGAGGGAGACCGGAGACCGGTATAATCAATACCAACTCTAGTCTGTAAACAATGAGAACATTCCTGTCTTTTTTCCCCCCAAAATAAGACTATTTATGTTATACAATTCATTATAAAAAAGTATACTGAAATATCAAGAAGAAAGTAAAATTTACCCTAAACCCACCATTCCCATAACCATGACTGACAGTCAGCTGTTGGGCCTTGCATCCATTTGCCCTTCCTGTTCTTTTCAATTACAGTAGCTACTTTGTGTGGGCACTTACTGCGTGCCAGGCCTATGCCACGTGCTGGCTGGTAGCAGCTTCTGCTGCCTCGGGGTCCTTGTCCATGTTGTCTGTTGCTCCAGCTACACCAACACCATCTGCAGGTCTCTCCTCATTGTGTTAGGTTTTGTCTTAAATGTGGGAGGCTTTCCTGACATCCCAGGTCGGATCCCTTGTTAGTTTCATCACACCCTGTTACTTTTCTTTGATCGCTTGTGCTATTTATTGTCTGGGTTGTTGTTTTTTTGTTTAACAGTTGTTCACTAGACTGGCAGCTCTCAGAAAGACAGGAACTATTTCTGTTTGCCTGCCACAGAGGGTGTTCAATAAATATTATCAAAGACTGCACATGATCCTGTTTTATCCTCACACTATGAGGGGACACGATTCCCATTTTATAGATGGCAAAACTAAGCTTGGAATAATTACCATGCACAAAGGCACACTGCATAACTGGGCCCATAAGTCTGCTTCCACACAGCATGAGTGGACTAAGTGCTGGGCAACTACCTGCTTCTTGCTTAATAGGAAAAAC